TTGACCAAAATCGGCCCTTTTAGTGATATGCGTCATCTTGCTAATAATCTAAACGTGCATGACTTGTGTCTAAATATATCAAGTCAAAAGGAAGCAATTAATGCGTCCATGCTATTTTGCAGGAATCAAAGAAAAGTCCTGATGCACTGCAGTGCTTATGTGCTTAGATTAAAGGCACATGTTGACGGAACATCGCACAGCAGATAAAATATCCAATCGGCTCAGATTGTCCCTTATTACTATTTTCTTACATCAATGAATAGAGGTTCGCAACATATCTATTTACAAATAGTTTTGGATTGATAGCAAAACAAAACTGTTGAAACTAATCATATTATTATATGTCTGTAGGAGCCTGGAGCTGTTTGGAATTTCGGAACTAAACACAAAAATTCCAGCAAAAAACTATGCATATTGATGAGTATTGCAAAAACGTTTTTTGCCGAATCGCCTACAACCACTGTATAGAGCAATTCCTGCAACCAAATTCCTATTGCAAAGATCAGCATATCGAGCAACAACAGGTGCATAATACAGGCTTACTTCCTCACATATCGCGTGACCATTCAAAATAAAAACTAGGTATTTAAATCACTCCTTTTCTCAGATCCTTTCCAAAACTAATATAAATATGCCGTTTCAGAGAATGCATGACTATTCATAACTGCGGCGCAGATTGTTGATGCGCCAACCTACATCAATACGGCTACGTAAATATCAACTTCTAAATGTTACACTAAAGAACTAAGTGTCCATTTGGTGACTTCAAATTGATTGGGGTGAAGAAAGTTGAGAAAAGTATGTAAAAAGAAAAATTTGAAACTTGCGACTTCCTCGAAAAGTTGTTTAAAGGCAGTACTCTACAAAGCCACATATCGAAATATGACAGCCAGGTAACCACTACTTACCTCAATGAAGACATCTTAGGCTGAATTCAACGTGTAGTAAATATTCTACAGTACCTAACATACCATTGTTTACTGCTTGAAAGAGCATATAAAGTAGCTAATCCTTTTGAAACTTGTGGG